TCCTGCCCACCTCCCATCTCTGCATTCTCTTTCCCACCCCTTTAAATGATCACAGTTTATTCATAATATTAAAAAGTATTTTTTCTATCTGGCTGACTGATTTTGTGATAGTAAAAGTTAGGGTCTTAAGGTCAGGAAGCCTAGGTTCCCAAGGAGATTGGGCCTTAGGGCTGACTCTAAGTGGATTTCCTTCTCTGTTCAACCATTATTTCTTTTGTCCTCTCAGGCTTATACTCTAGAGAATGGCAACCTCTTAGTCCTCTGCCAACATCCAGTTATCACTGTCAGTCCCATCTCTTCCTTCCTCTATTCCTGTTGCCCTGATTACCTTTTGCCTAGATTATTGTACTTTCCACCCACCTTGTCTCTGTGCATGTGGTCTCTTCCTACTCCATACTAACCCAGATTTATCATTGCTTCATGTTACCTGATCAAATTTATACTTCTTGGACTAACCCAAGAGGCCCCAGCATTGACCTGTACCCTGGCTGAGCATCACTCCTGCAGCTGTGGGATGCTTGCTCCCTTGTCTTTGCTCCGTTTTCCCTCAGAAAGTCTTTCCTAGTTACCATTAGGATCTCCTTTTCTTGGCTTCCTCTCAGCCCTCCCTGAGTTGGGATAGTGTTATGTGCGTAAATGTATTTTCTAGCTGCGTTCTGTGTGTCTGGTCTCTAGAAAATTTTAAATTCTTGGAATTTGAGGACTGTGCTCCTAATGGAAGTTCCCCAAGCTTGAATCTGTTTCCTTCATCTTAGTTTTCTGTGGCCATATGGCTTCTCTCCTTGCCATCTCCAATCCTAGTGCCTAGGATAAGACTGCAACTACAGGTTGTGAATGCTTAGATTAGTGAGGGGCTAAATGCCCCAGTACTGAAGGGGAGCTGGAATTGACAGAATGAATTAACCTTTTCTGGAGCAAATCCACCTTTAGTGAACATCAAACACATTGAGAAATTTTGTGAAGCAAATAAGTTCAGAAGAGTGGCAATGTTGGGGTGGGACAAGACTGCCTGAATTTTTTGAATCCCACCCTTCCAAACCCAAACTGGACAGTTAATCCTTCTATATTCTGGTAAGGAGAATCCAGGGAGCAGCTCCTTCTCGAAAGTAAAGTGATGGGGACCTGGACTCCCATTTAAGCTAGCTCTCCTCAACCACTCCACATTTTCCACATTCTTAGTCCAGTAATCGCCTAGCTCCTTAATGAAATGCAGGTCTCCATTTTCTCAGCCTCAAAAATTAATTTCTCTTAATTAAGGCTAAGTTTACTCAATCTATGACTTCTGCCCCTTTAGGATCCCAAATATCCTATTTTTCTGGTTCCCAAACCTTGTGCTCTTTTGTTTCTCTGGCCCACTCTTGTCTATACAGTGTTTGTGTAGAGAGGGCTCAGGGAAAGACAAAATGACTACTAGAATGGGAGCCCCTCTGTGTAGATGAGGGAAGGGTTGAGATTGGGGCAGGGTGTCAAACACCTGGATCCTAGATTGTCTCCATTTTTCTGTGAATGGAACACTTCCCTTCCACCTGATAAGGAGCAGCTGTGTTTGTCTACGAATCCCCCAGGGCAGCACTGGCTTCCCCTCCCCCTGCAAGTCCTCTGCTCTTCACCCTCACCTCCTGCTGCATGTAGTGGACTCTTTAAGGAGGCTCTTGAAAGAACTTGCCCAGTGGTGCTGACTCTACATTTGCTAGAGCTCTCAGTTCTACAATGCTGACCTGGGGGTAAGGGATGATCTGGGTTTCTAGGGTGAAATAAAAAGAAAGGATAGGGGGATGAGAGGGAGGGGACAGAATATTGGATTCAAAGGAATGTGTTAGATTGAGAGAATAGGGGTTGGGATAGAAAGAGGAGGCTAGTTTTGGGGGAGGTAGGTATAGAGTACTGTTAAGATTATGGGACCATAGGATTTAAAGTTGAAAGGGACGTAACTGATTGATAGATGGGTAAGCAGGAACAAAGAGGCTATACTCTAGCTCGGATGCTCTCCGATTCCAGATGAAGGAAAACCCAGGACTAGAGTTGAGGGTACTTCCAGCTCTTAGCGCAATGCCTAGGGCATGGCTGATGCTTAATGAAGGCTTGTTAGATTGGCCTGGTTTGGAAAAGGCAGGTGGAAAGCAAGGAACAACAGATAGACAGGTCCTAGGATTGAGGGTCTTTGCCTGGCCCTGGCTGCACCTTGCGCTATTCCACGTGTGAAGTTCTGGATTCAGTGCTGGGCTGTGTGTTTAGGATGCAAAGTTGTTTCATGCCCACTGGGAGAGCCTGCTTTATATAAACTGCTATGACAGGTGAGTGCAAGTCAAGAAGTGAGATCCCTTCAGATAGCCTTCTGGAATCCTGGTCTTCAGAACCCACTGAGCCTTAGCCTGGTCCACAATTCTTGATCCTCCTCTTCCCTTAATTTTGCCCATCATTCCCCAGGCCCCTCCTCCTCTGACTCCACCCTCGGCTGCTTACCCCCGTGTCCCCTTTGTACCCAGGGCAGGGTCCCCAGTATGGGTTATATCATCAAATGCTGCCACTATGGTGACTATTGCAACCCCCAGCTCCCTCACTCCCACAGTGTCTCCCATCAGCCAGAAGATGGATCGACCCAAGGGAAGCTCCCTAGAGCACCTAGAAGCCCCAACCCTGCCTTGCCTTCCCAGCCAGAGGAAGGAGAGACAGAATGAGGCCTTGACAAGTTACCATCGGGATGGGATTAACAATCCCAAAGCCACACCTTCCCAAAAGAAGACCATACTCCTGTCCAACACCAATCCCCACCCCACTCATAACACCTGTACCCCATCCCCTGGTAGCAGCAGGTACTCCCCTCTGAGTGCCAACCTGCCTTGTAATATCAGGGATTTCCCTTTCAGGACCTCCTTTCCTCTAAAGGCCCCTAATGCAAAGGCCACTGGTGTCCTAGGTTTCTGTCAGACTTCCTTTTAGACTCTAGCAGGGCTACCACTACAAAGATCCCCTTTCATCTAGGCCTGTTGGTAGCAATCAGTTTGGGGAGAGGCATGTTGAGGGTGGTCTGTGAGATAGGTTTCAACCTCAAATCCCCTGCCTACCCCTTCTCACCTACTTTGTTCCCCGCTTTCTAGTACCTTGATCGAATTCATTTTGATCCTCCATCTTGCTAATTCTGACTCATTTTTCTATATCCCATTCAATATTTACTGAGTTCCTACAATGTGCCACTTTTCTTCTGTTACCCTTTCTCTACCCGCTGCTGTCATTTTCTCTCCTCTCTGTCTCCCAGCCAGTGAGTACTTCTTTTATAACTCCCTGACCTTGATGAGGACCTGACTCCAAAGTCCGGTTATCTAATAAAATGAGATTTCTGTCATAGAACTGAGCTCTGGGACTTCAGCCTCCCCAAGCTCAAGCCAAGGCATGTATGTTGGGGGAAGGGGCCAGTGGAGAGGGGTAAGGAGAAGGGTTGTACGTTCTTAGAAGAGGGAGAGCAATAATGCTTGGATCCCTGAAAGAAAAAATTAGTGGTGGTGGACATAATCAACAATCCTCTGGGAAAAACTGGAGTAAAAACATGATGTAAGAATAGAGATTAAGACTGAGATAAAGGGTTTCCAAAACAAAGGAATCTCAGAACTGGAAAGGATATTAGTGATCATCTAGTCCATCATCTAGTCTATTATTTTACAAAAAAGAAAACTGGGGCTTAGAGATAGGAAGGGATTGGCCCTTGGAAGTGAAGTGGAATAAGTGGCGGAGTGTGGACTGTCCCCAAATCCAGCACACTTTTCATTCACTAAACCTGTGTTTTTTTTCAAGGAAGGGACAAATTATATTAGATTATAAACTTGAAGGGCGGACTGTATCTTTTTTAGTTTTTAGTTTTAGGGTTTTATATTTGGTTTTCTGTTATCTCTTTTATTGTTGTTTGTCCTTCTGGAAGCTAGCTTAAGAGTTTGTAGGATGGGTGGATGGACGAAACAGATGGAAAGAGGCAGAATCAAAGGGATAGAAAAAGACATAAAGAGATAAGGTCCCAGAACATAAAAATACAGTGGAAGGGAAAGAAGCTAGTCACTTGGAGCATTCTACTGCCACCCTCGGTCGCTACAGGGGTTCATGAGGATTCTGGGCAGAGTCTTTGTTGTAATGTCACAGCGCCGACTGCTGGGGAAGGTGTAACTAGGTCATGGCCAGAACTGGTCCAACCAGCCTGAGTTGAATAGGTCTCTGGGATCCTGGGCAGAAGTTTCTTCTGTGACTTCCCGAGACATCAGAAAATGGGGGCAACCTTGAAAGGCAAGCACTCAAGTGGGGAGAGGAGACCCACAGTTTCCGGAGCCCCAACCTCGTGGGCACTGAGGCCAAGCAGAGGCCAGGCCAGGCCAGGACAATGACTTACTACTCATCCTTAGTCTGAAGTCTCTAGGCTGCAGGAAGGACTTAAGAACTTGACTGCAGGAATCCGTCTAGGGCAACGGAGCCTTGGGGAGCCCAAGTGTGGGATCACCCCGGTATAGGCCCGTGGAAACGAGATCCAGGAATTCTGCCTCCCCCTCATCTCTTATAACGCACACCCCACCCTAACGCCTCGGTTCTTAAACTAACATCACCACTGCCCCCAAGTCCATCCCAGAGCTTGCTGTCCTGTCCCCCGGTTGTAGTGGGTGAGAACATCCTGTCTCTCCTGGCATGTCTCCTGGACCTCACCCCCGCAAGGGTTGAGGGGGGCATAACACCTACTTGGTCGTGGCCCTCAAGGTTCCGCTGGTCTCCAAGCACTGGCTGGAGCAGAGAGCCTGCGTAGGCACAGATTGCATTGGATGAATTCCAAAGTCCCTTCTAAATCAAATTCGAGTCTTAGGATCGAAACTCGTTCCTGCCCCAATCCCCAAGATGAGAGGCAGAATGTTCCTTGGTATTTTGATCTTGATGGGCTCTGCTGTAGGTAAGTTAGCAGAAGTTGGAGAACGATGTATTTACTGGACAGCTGGGGAGAAGGGCAGGGAACTGGGGCACAGGTGTTAACTTGCTGCCTTGCAACCCTCTTCCATTTTTCTTAGCTCACCACGGGCCCTCCCATGCCCGGTTTTGTCATTTGTGTCTCTTGGAAGACCCATTTCTGGGCTGCTTAACTGGATCCGACATGTGCATCCCAGACAACAAAGGCCAGTGCATGGTGATTAACATTTATAATGGTGAGACCGCCCCCTGCCCCCTCTTTGGGAGAGGAAGAGGGAAGAAGGGAGGGAGGGAGAACAGAGGGAAGAGTGGGGGGAGGAGGTGTCCACCACATTGTAGGCTCTTCATGCAATGTTGATTGAATTGAGAAGGATTATGGAAATGGATAGGATCAGGACTAGGGGAGGAGAGAATGAAGCAAGGCATTCTTTCACACGTGGAGATAGGGAGCCCCTGGAATTTGAGCTATAGAAAGGAGAGAGATTGCACTAAGGGAAACAGGACAGGGCTACATCCTTTCTATCCCTAAAATATGTAATCTTCATCTGGGAGAAGCCTGAGTTGGGATCAGGTTGGGGTGGGGAATGGGTGGTCTGGAGTCAAGAGTAGGAAGGCCTAAGACCAAGGAATATCAGAGCTGAAAAGAACCTTACAGACCATCTAATTCAACCCACTCATTGTACAGAGGAAGCCTACGGGAGCTAAAGAGGGAAAGTGACTTACTGGTCCAGGTCTAGAACTCTCATCTGATTCTCTGTCCAGGGCTATTTCCATTGCATCTCCAAGCAATACCCCACAGAAAACTAGGTCTGTTTATCAAGGTTTGAGGCTGTGGGAGGTGAAAGAGAGCTCATCCCAGAGTTAAGCTCCTCTCCCCTTTCACCCAGGTTCCAAGCTGAAATATGTGGTCAGAGGCTGTGGGGAGCATAGCTCCTTCCGCTGCGGGGAGCATAGCTCCTTCCGCTGCAAGGAGGTCCAAAATGGCTTCATTCTTTATTACTGGTTCAGGGCCGAGTGCTGCCAATATGATTACTGTAATGCCTGGTTCCAGCCCCAGCTCCAGGGTCCCATCCCTGGGACCCCACTCCCAGAGGGGCCTTTGTCCTTGGCCCAGATCCAGCTGTTCTATGTGGTGTTGAACCTCTCCCTACCTCTGCCCACTCCAGCCCCAGGAGAGCCAGAGGATACTGGCCTGCCACCCCCACCTCTGAATCTGAACCTGCCTGTGGAACACCTTCACATCCTTTACCAGTCTTTCATCAACGATGGCCTCCTGAGCCTTCCCCAGACTGAGCCATGAATGCCTGTTACAGCACTCCTCTCTCCCATGTGCCTCCTCACTAGACTGTCCCCTAGTATTTTCTCACCACTGTCTTTAATGATAATTATATCAGTATATTAATCTCTAATGTTTGCAGATTGTTTCAATGTCATCTTATTAAATCCTCACCACTCTAGGAAATAGGTAATGAAGCATTACTGAAAGGGCAAGACCACTCTTCCACAATATTTCTTGTATCCTTCCTCTTGTCTCCATTCCCATAATCGTGTTTTAGACTCTTATCTCCTCATCTAAATGATAATACTAGCTTCCTAATTGGTTGATCTCATCTTTTGCCAATCCACCCTTTATATAATTGCCAAAATAATTTTCCTAAAGCACAAATCTGATCATGTCACTCCTCTACTCAGATATGTCAGTGATTCCCTTTTACCTTTACAATAAAACATAAATTTTTCCTAATATTGAAGATCCTTTACAGTCTGGTTCCAAACAATCAATAGACCCCTCCCCCCAAATCCCTGTTGCAAGTATGATACTGCTAGGTAATGGGGACACAAAGAAAAAATGCATTTCGCCTCAGTTATACTTGGGAAGGGGTAAGGGTGCACTGATGATGATCACATATACATAATTCAAGGTAGAGAGTGTGTTGTGGGAGTAGTGATGGGGGATAGGGGGAGGAGAGAGCAAAAAACAATCTAGGAAAATTTGAGGAGTTAAAGAATATATATTTTCAGGGGGTAGCTAGGTGGCACAGTGGATAGAGTACCAACCCTGGAGTTAGGAGGACCTGAGTTCAAATCCCATCTCAGACACTTAAGACTTATTAGCTGTGTGATCCTGGGTAAGTCACTTAACCCCATTGCCTAGCCCCTCCCCCCAAAAAAGAATATGTTCAGTTGGGGGATGGGGGCTGTAGAGGCAATGAGGGACCTCTATTCACATCTGAACTTTGCCTTGAAGGAAAAAAAGATTGGAAAGTGAGATTGCATTCCCAGCATGGAAGATGGTTTTTATACAAGCCAAGCACAGCACAAGCCAAAGTAAAATAACATCTACCAGTTTGGTTGGAAAAAAAAAAGGCGTGAAGGAAGCACGGATAGAAATAAAGATAAAATGGACTGGAGCCAGATCAGTCAACCAATCATCAAGCATTCTTACTTACTATGTGCCAGGCACTGAGCTAAATGCTAGAGGTACAAAAAGAAATAAAAAATGGATCCTGCCCTCAAGGAGCTTAAATTATAAGGAGAGAGGCAACATATATAAATCAGAGCATACAAGAAGTAGTTGGGAAGTAACCTTAGAAGAGGGTGGCACTGAAGAAGTATCAGGAAAGGCCACCTAGAGAAGGTGGCACTTGAATCTTTTTTTTTTGTTTAATATCCTTAAAAAAAATTTCAAATTTTATTTTCAGTTCCAGATATTTTCCCTCCCTTTACCCTCCTCCCTACCCATTGAGAAGTCAAGAAATGCGATGCCCATGTTACGTATGAAGTTATACAAAACATTTCCACATTAGCCATATTGTGAGAAAAAAAAAGAGAAAAAATATCCTTTAATCTACATCAGAGTCCATCAATTCTCTCTGGAGATAGACAGCATTTTTCATCATGAATCCTGTGGAATCATCATGGATCACTGTATTTATTGATTGGAGTTGCTGGTTCTTTCATCATTATCATTACAATATTTCTGTTGTATCATGTACAATGTTCTCCTGCTTCTTTTGCATCAGCTCATATAAGTCTTTCCGGGTTTTTCTTCCTTTTTTTTTTTCCAAAGTGTATACTTTTATTCGGACTGTTATTGAGTATATAGGTAAAGCTCCTCCCCTCCTCCAAGTACTAGCACTAAAATCTTCATTCACATCTTCACTGGGGACTGGGAGGGATTTTAGATGGGGCATTCATTATGGCTCTGGACATTTAAAATAAAAAGGAACAAGTATTAAAGCAGAAGATAAAAAGGTTTGTACTTTTTTTTAAAGGATTACATAATTTACATGTAAAGCCAATACTACTGCTTCCCCTCTCCCCTTCTCCCTGGTCTGAATTTGTGTAGAGCAGGAGGTCCTTCTGAGAGGTAAGTGACTTTCTGTAACAATACGGTATTTGGAATGACTCTTTTTTTAAAATGTACAACCAGAGTCTTGAAGATGCACTGTAGAACTTTGGGGATATTTGCCCCCAACATATTTAGATTGCTCACCTTCACTATTGCAGTTTTAAAATCCTGAACCAATCGCCAAAAAGAGCCCAACAAGAAACAAGTAAAGCCAAACCAATCTTTTTTTTTGGGGGGGGGAACAATTATGTCACATCCTTAGGGAAAAAACCCCAAAACAACCAACCAAAGAACCCACAATCCATTTAGAAATATTTTCAGTGGGCAAGAGAATTGGAAATTGAGAGGATGCCCATCAATTGGGGAATGGAATGTAATGGAATACTATTGTGCTATAAGAAATGATGAACAGGCTGACTTCAGAAAAACCTGGAAAGACTTATATGGTCTGATGCTGAGTGCAGTGAGCAGAACCAAGAGGACTTTGTACACAATAACAGCCACGTTATGCAGTGACTAATATTGTTAAACTGAACCCTTCTCAGCATTACAAGGATCTAAGCCATCTCCAGAGGCCTGGGGATGGAAAATACTGTCCACATCCAAAGAAAGAACTATGGAAGTCGAATCGCTCTCACTTATTTTTACCTTCTGTTAAGTTTTATTACATCTTTCTGATGGTTCCTCCTGTTGGTTTTAATTTTTACTTACAACTTCACTAATGTGAAAATATGTTTAATGGGTATGTAAATATAAAGCCTATATCAGATTGTGCACTGTCTTGGCGGGGGGGAGGAAGGGGGAGAAAAATTTTCAACTCAAAAGCATATGGAAGTGATTGTTGATAAATCAAAATAAATTAATAATAAAAAAAGACTGAACTTTTAAAAATCAGTAATTTGGAAGAAGAGAACTCTGAATTTCTCCAAGATATTGGTTATTAATAATCATTTCTCAATCGCAAAAGTACATGCATAACACTATATACCACAACATGTGTGAAAGAAGGATTTATCAACAGAATTTGTGAAATATGGTATGCCAAATTACTTATGAACATTGATTGCATCAGCATCAATGAAATATATTATAACACCAACAGTGAAACATCTAAATCATAAAAAGGACATAAAGTGTATTACACATAAAAGGACACATTCTCCATTGATGGAGCAAATTTGTCTAAATAACTGTTTGTCCAAGACAAGGAATATGTGGAAAGAAACAAAGGGTCTAAATTCTAGTTATAAAAGTGACTGCTGCCCAACACTGGCCAGTGGAATAATATGTTAACAACTGCTCAGGTATTGGCGGGAAGCTGGCCAGGTGATCTCTTGTTTTGTAACTGCCTAGAAACATGTATAACTCTCTAGGTTATATAACTGGGAGTGGTCTCAATGAAAGGGATTACCCTGATTAGGTTTCTAAAAAACTATATGGGGGCAGCTAGGTGGCACAGTGGATACAGCACCATCCCTGAAGTCAGGAGGACCGGAGTTCAAATCTGGCCTCAGACCAAACACTTGACACTTACCAGCTGTGTGACCTTGGGCAAGTCATTTAACCTCAGTTGCCAAATTAAATAAATAAATAAATAAAAGACTCTTTGGAGATCAAGGCAGTGATACCATTGCTGTTGTTATTTAGTCGTTCAGTCATGTCAGACTCTTTGTTACCCCATTTGGGGTTTTCTTGGCAAAGATCCTGGAGTGGTTTGCCATTTCCTTCACCAGCTTATTTTACAGATGAGGATACTGAGGCAAACAGGGTTAAGTGACTTGCTGAAGATCATGCAACTAGGAAGTGCCTGAGGCTATATTTGAACTCATGAGAATGAGTCTTCCTGACTCCAGGCCTGGCACTCCATCCACCGTGTGATACCAGAAGGTTCCTACAACCATTTCACAGTGTCCTTACCAGGACTTCTCCCTGCTGCTAGAAACATGAGCTCATCACTTTCATTTAAAGTTCTTTGTGCAACTACATTATGGTTCTCATTGTCCTGGTGTTCCTATAATTTGAAGCCAGTTCTCTGTGAGCTACTGGAGTAGCAGGATTAGAGAAATCCTATGGCCATACCATTGTTTGGAGCAAGAAAGGAAAAAGAAAAGGGGGTTCTCTGTAAACTGAAAAAGAGAGAGGGGAGATCAAAGAGCCATTTAACAAAAGAAGCTATTTCTAGGAAGAGTCCTCTTCAGAATCCCTGGGACCCTTGTGGTTGAGGTTATACAAGCACCATCTCAACTACAAGAATTGGGGATGGAAAAAAAGAGGATGGGCAGGACTGGAGGTGGAAGGGGATCTGGGATAGCACCTACTTACTGCACCTTGCCATCTGAATAAGTGGAGGCTAAAAGACATTTGCCAGTGGGATTAGCCAAGCCTGCTATATGGCCTGAACTAGAAGAATTATGGCTAAAAAAAAAAAAAGAAGCCAAAACAATGGCAGAACGGAATCTGGGATGGATCCTGCTTATTTTCCTCTAACAGATAAATGAGTGCTTGTTCCAGGCAGAGACCAGTTGCAGTAACAGGCCTGAAAGCCAGGATTTAGGACTAGAAAATAAAGATCAAGTCAAGAAGACAGAAGGATATCTGGGATGGGTCCTGCTTACTGCATTCTGCTATCCAATAAGCCTTTGCTTCAAACAGAGGCTAAATAATAATAGCTAACATTTATATAGCACTTATTATGTTTCAGGCATTGTGCTAAGTGCTTTACATTTATTATCTCATTTGATTAAAAGCATACATTTTATTTAAAAAAATTTTTTTTTCAGTCAGAGGCAAGGGTTTTTTTTAAGATTCATTAATTTATTTATTTTTAGTTTTCAACATTCACTTCCACAAGATTTTGAGTTCCAAATTTTCTCCCCATCTCATCCCTTCACCAACCCCAAGACAGTGTGCATTCTGAATACTCTTTCCCCTAATCTTCCCTCCCTTCTATCTCCCCCCTTCTCTTATCCCCTTCCTCTTCTATTTTCCTGTAGGGCAGGATAGATTTCTATACCCCATTGCCTGTATATTTTATTTCCCAGTTGTATGTGAAAACAATTTTTTAACATTTGTTTTTAAAATTTTGGGTTCCAAACCTTCTTCCTTCCTGCCTTGCCACCCACACTCACCGAGAAGGCAAGCAACTCAACCCAGGCCATACCTGTGCAGTCATGCAAAACATTTCCATAGTAGTCATGCTGTGGAAAACTAACTGTATTTCTCTTCATCCTATCCTGCTCTCCCCGTTTATTCTATTCTCTCTTTTGACCTTGTCCCTCCTCAGAAGTGTTTGCTTCTGATTACCCCCACCCCCAACCTGCCCTCCCCTCTATCATCTCCCCCCATCCCCTTCACCCCACTATTTTCCTGTAGGGTACAATAACTTTCCATAC